TTTTAAGGGTATCAATCAAAAGCATGGCCTAAATAAATTAATGATTCCAAAACTTCACTTTAACCATCAGTTTCTGTTTCCTTTTCATCAACCTTCATACCAGTTGCTAAGCAATAGCTGCCTAAGTGTTGGACTGTTATATTTCCTGACTAACTAGGAATGTTGGATCATTACATTTCCAGACTAAGAGTTTTGGACTCTGTTACACTTCCTGACTGACCAGGAATGCAAAGGCCTCATTATACTTTCTTACTTGGAATTCTGAACTTCATTTCTCCTCACTGACCAAAAATTTAAGACTCAATTATACTCTAAGCATATTAAGTTTCATTACCCTAAGCAGGAGTGTTGGATCCAGACACACTGACTAATGGCACTGAGCCTCATTAAACTCATTAACCAGGAGTACTAACCCTTTCACATTGACCAACTAAAACTAACACTTCATTCTGATATAAAACTCTAGATTTTGAGTTCCTAGACTGATGCAGCCCAAATGGTGAAAGGCAGGTAGATACCAAGAAAAAGAACAAATGATCTGAGTAATTATTTCCTTGAAACAATAATTAGTTCTTAGAGGTCTATTTGAGGTCTCTATTAAGAGAACACCATATTGTAATCCAAACCAGTGTAATTTTAGATCATTCTTAAGCATGCATTTTAATATGACATGCATTACTGAAAAAATCATTTTCGGATTATGAATAACAAAACTAAAATATTCTTGCCACACACAAAATTCTTGTCTATGAAGTCATAAAAACCAGACCCCTACTTCTGCTTGGTCTTCTCTAAAGACACTCCTTTGCTCACTATCCTCTAGCCACATTAGATTTCTTTTTTTTTTTCCCCCATTTATTTATTGCATTTTACGTTTTGGGGTACATGTGAAGAACATGCAAGATTGTTGCATAGATACACACGTGGCAGTGTGATTTGCTGCCTTCCTCCCCATCACCTACATCTGGCATCTCTCCCCCCTTGCTATCTCTCCCCAACTCCCCACCCCCCACCGTCCCTCCCCTATTTCCCCCCAACTGACCCCAGTGTGTAGTGCTCCCCTCCCTGTGTCCATGTGTTCTCATTGTTCAACACCCGCCTATGAGTGAGAACATGTGGTGTTTGATCTTCTGCTCTTCTGTCAGTTTGCTAAGAATGATGTTTTCCAGGTTCATCCATGTCCCTACAAAGGACACAAACTCATCGTTTTTTATGGCCGCATAATATTCCATGGTGTATATGTGCCACATTTTCCCTGTCCAGTCTATCATCGATGGGCATTTGGGTTGGTTCCAGGTCTTTGCTATTGTAAAGAGTGCTGCAATGAACATTCATGTGCATGTGTCCAAGCGTATGAAAAAATGCTCATCATCACTGGTCATCAGAGAAATACAAATCAAAACTACATTGAGATACCATCTCACGCCAGTTAGAATGGCAATCATTAAAAAATCTGGAGACAACAGATGCTGTAGAGGATGTGGAGAAATAGGAACACTTTTGCACTGTTGGTGGGAGTGTAAATTAGTTCAACCATTGTGGAAGACAGTATGGCGATTCCTCAAGGACCTAGAAATAGAAATTCCATTTGACCCAGCAATCCCATTACTAGGTATATATCCAAAGAAGCCATGTTAGATTTCTATCTCTTTCTGAAACACATTTGCTTTCACCTCAGGACTTTTGCGTTTGCTTTTCCCTCTGTTTTCCCAGTGCTTTTTCCTCAGATCTTCACCTGGCTGGCTCCTCATTCTCACATTTCAGTTAAAATGCTACCTTTATCTGACTCTACAACATAAAATAACCCTCTCTATATCTTTAGTAACACTATTCTATTATTCTATTTGGTTTTCTTCATGGTATTTATCATATTATAAAATTACACTGTATATTTATGAATTTACTTTTGAGATTATCTGACTCCCATCTACTCAAGAATATAAAATCCAGCAAAACTGTGAACTTCCTTTGTCTTATTCACTGCTACATTCCCTGTGCCTAAAAAAGTGCTAGCACATAGTAAGGGACTCAGCATAATATTTGAATTCATTCAGAATAAGAGAATGAAATACATTCATTTTGGAATTATTTACTAGCTTTATAAAGCATCATGGCAGGTGATAGACATAGGGATATTATTGAATGCCAATTACTTTTGTCTAAAACCAACATTTTAATTTGCTACTTCAATATACCACTAGTGATCGCAACTGATTTTTTTAAATATTGAGGGCTATGTGTCACATATGTGATAAGAGGGTTTGCTATGGTTTCTGACATAATTTTTTTTCATTTTATGGATATATAATAGCTGTACATATTTATGGAGTACATGCGATATTTTGATACAAGCATACAGTGTGCAATGATCAAACCTGGGTAACTGGGATATCCATCACCTCAAACATTTATCATTTCTTTGTGTTAGGGGCACTCCAAATCTAGCTACTTACATATAGACAATAAACTGTTTATTATAGTCACTCTATTGTGCTACAGAGTATCAGAACTTATTCCTTCTATCTATTTTTGTACACATTAACGAAACTCTCTTCATCCCCTGCTCCCTACCACCCTTCCAGCCTCTGTTTACCACCATTCTGTTCACTGCCTCAATGAGATGAACTTTTAGCTCTCACATATAAGAACATGAAATATTTGTCTTTCTGTGCCTGACATTTCATTTAGCATAATGTCTTCCAGTTCTATCCATACTGCTGTAAATGACAGGATTTCATTTTTTTATGCCTGAATGATATTCCATTGTGTGTGTGTGTGTGTGTGTGTGTGTGTGTGTGTGTGTGTGTGTGTGTGTATTGCATTTTCTTTATTCATTCATCCTTTGATGAACACTTAGGTTGATTCCATATCTTGGCTATTGTAAACAGTACTGCAATAAGCATAGTGGTGCAGATACCACTTCAAAATACTGATTTCCCATATTTTGGATATATACCTAGCTGTGAAAATTGCTGGGTATATGGCAGCTCTTTCCATTTTTTGAGGAACCTCCATCCTGTTTTCCATAATGGCTGTACTAATTTACATTCCCACCAACAGGATGTAAGTGTTCCCCTTTCTCTGTCTGCATATACCAGCATTTGTCATTTTCTGTCCTTTTTATAACAGCCACTTTAAGTAGGGTGAGATGATAACTCATTATGGTTTTGATTAGCATTTCCCTGATGATTAGTGATGCTTAGCATTTTTTCATGTACCTGTTGGCCATCTGCATGTCTTCTTTAGAGAAATGTTTATTCAGATCATTTGCCTATTTTTAAAATCATAATATTTGTTTTTCTGCAGTTGAGTTCCTTATATGTTCTGCTTTTTAATCCCTTGTCAGGTGGATAGTTTGCAAATATTTTCTCCCATTCTGCAGGTTGTCACAAACATGTTTACAGGGAGAAATATATGTATGTGGCAGAAACTCAGATATCTACTTTTTCTGCTAAACCTGTACATAATTCCATAAGCCTTAATATACTGCCTGAGGCAGACACTATCAATGGTATTTGTGCACAGCAAAATATAACTGAACAGAACTGGCCTAAGTGTTAAAACTGTCATCTCTACTATACTGTTATCTGAATCTAGAGTCTGAAGACCTGGGCTTCAAGTTTTTGTCCCACAGCAGTGTTAACATAATGATGGAGCCAAGAAACTGATTCAGGAGAAATGAATACAAAGAATCTGGAAAACAATGTGAAGGTGGCAGTATCAAGTAAATTACAGATGCTACTGTGCTTCAAGGATTTCTCAAGTCAGGTTATGGGTATGAGATGGTGTTAGAAGAGTGCCTGAAAATAAGATTATTGAAGGAGGTGGCAGTGGTTGGTAATGATAAAGTTATGGTCAAGATTATAACAGAGGGCGCCCTGAGCAAGATAAATGTTTGAAAGGCTGTGTGGAAGAAAATGTTTTAAGTACCAAGCAACAGTGATTCCAAATAAAGGCTTAATAAAAGAAAAGGTACAGAAATGTAAAATGGGGTGGGACTTCCATCTAGCTGACGTCAACAGTGACTACTTACTATCTGTCATCCAATATCTCCATCTGTCTCAGTTATCAATTTATTGACTCTCAGATCCAAAAGCATCCTTGAATTATGTTCTGCAATTTAAGAATAAAAAAAGAGGAACCTCTAGGTATTGCTCTCCTTTAAAACGAGCATGATATTAACCTTTCTCTGTAAAAGGCACTTGAAGGACACTGCAGAAGGAAGATGCTTGCCTGCAGTTTCTTGTTGCAACATGGAAGCTGGCAGTATGAGTGTGAGGATATCCAGTATTCTCAGCCATGGGTCCAGAACACGCTCTCTCTCTGCAACCTTGCAGTCTTAGTCTACCAATAACCTTTCCATACACTTCTCAACATGCAAACTAGTGTTCAAAGACCTCCTGACCACTCACCACTAAGACTCTTACTTCCTCTGTAAAACCCTGTACACAGCCTGCCTGTCCTGTGGTTAGAGAGTTAGCACCATGCTGCTACTCCTGCAAACTGCCCTCCCCCATGTGCAGCCTGTCCATGCAAAGAGGGACCCCACACTCTTTGCAACCCTACTGTGCACCCACTCTTCTCCTTGCTGATTTGCTCCCTGACATGCACAGAAGAAGATGCTAACTGCTTGTCCAGTGACTGTGAACCAGCCCTGTCCTGGTGTAGCCAAACAAGTGAACATTTTTTCTATTCGGTAGGCTGAACTACATCTTCAATAGAATGTGAATCCCTTCTAAGTTTGCCTTTCCTTGGGACAATTTCTTGGGAGAAATAAATCTCAAATGCAATCTAACTCAAAATTATACTCCAACTCTTAGCATAAAAGAAAGGGAGACTCATTTCTAGGCATAAAATCTATTTGCCTTCGTCTATACGATGCTATATAAGATGTACAGCTTTCAATAAAAATTA